TTGCATGCAACTTCCGTAAGTATGTACCGCACCTACAGCCTCAGGGGAAGGTTTTTAAGGTACGTATGATGCGTCATTAGGTGCGTAATGGTCCCGAGATGGGTGCACACATATAAAATTGAAGAAAATCGGCTGTATTCGCTATTAAAATTAAGTTTTTATAAATATATCGAAAAACCTCTTTGTTAGGAGGCAATTAGCATTGACCGGAAGTGGCCTTAGCCTATAAAAATGGAGGGAGCGTGCGCTTTTCATTTTTTTGGTGAGCGGCATTCGGCAAGTCCTATGTAAAGTCAATTTTCAGAAGTCCTAGACGGGTCCAGGGTTGAAAAGCCGCGAAGCGGTTTTTCAACCCTGGTATAAAGCTAATCCAAAAAATATAGAGCGGGAAATTCAGAATCCGAAAACTATACTCTGCCATACCCCCAGGGGGTATACCCCCCATGGGGGTACAAAAGGGGTACGAGGTGGGGTACAGCGGGGGTACGGGGTGGGGGTACAAAGGGGTACCCCCCCCTACCCCCCCCCCCCCCACCCCCACCCCCCAGCAACCCAACAGATTTTTTCCAGTTACCTCCCACACCGACAGGCCCGTACGGGAGCCGAGATTTCGGGGGGGGCACCCACCCAAAAAATTTTTGGCGACCTCCCCTAAAACGACCTAAAATGTTAGGAAAATGGGTTTTCTAGAAGTAAAAATCGTTTCAAAACAGTGATAAACAGCGCCGCAGGCAGAAAAACTTTTCAGGAAAAATCCTAAGGGTTCCCCCGGTAAGTTTTGCCTCGCCCCATAGATTTTGCCTCTGAAAGGTTACGCTATTTTCGCCATTTTGATCGGGATTTAAGCGTCAAAAATATACGAAGAGTTTTAATTTAAGCCTACAATAATGTAAAATAAGTCTCGCCGGCAAAATGTTTACAAATAAAACTGATACATTCCCGAAAAACTAGTGCTGCAAGCGAAAATTTTTGGAAAAATAGGTTTTATTGCAGTTTAAATTGTTTTAAAAACAATAATAAATAGCGCCGCAGGCAGAAAAATTTTTATGAAAAAAATCATAAGGGTCCCCCCTTATGAACTTTTCGGACCTCGCCCGATTTCGGGGGGGGCACCGTGCCCCGGTGCCCCCCCCTCGTACGGGCCTGCACACATACCACATATCGGTGGCTCGCAAAAAATTCAGGAAGAAATGACGAAGTCCGCCGGAATTTCACCAAGGCAGTTAATAAAATACGAAACTTGAAGTAAACATTTTTTAAATTCTTGTGATTTTTTTCCACTTAAAACATGTCTGAATTTTACCAAAAACATTATTGAAACTCTTACTATAACGTTACCAGGGGTTTCTGGGTTTATTTCAAAAAGATTGGTCCGCCGATAAACTTTCAACTTAAAAAAATGTTTAGTTCAAATTTGGTATTTTATTAACTGCCTTGATACAATTCCAGCTGACTTCGTCATTTTTTGTTGTATTTTTGCGATCCACCGACATTTGGTATATGTGGGAGGTCGCTAGAGAAAAATTTGCTGTGCTGCTGGGGGTAATTCCATTTGTACCCCCACCCGTACCCCTTAGTACCCCACCCCGTACCCCCTTTGTACCCCCACCTCGTACCCCTTTTGTACCCCCATGGGGGGTATACCCCCTGGGGGTATGGCAGAGTATACCGAAAACCGAATTTCTTCTTTTTTTTTAATTAGAAGAAGTAATCATTGCGGTAAATAGCCAACATATCTTATTTTATAAATTTAATGATTTTATTGCGTTCTTTCAAATAATTTATGGTATTATTAACGACCAGGGTTGAAAAACCGCTTCGCGGCTTTTCAACCCTGGCCCCGTCCAGGACCTGTGAAAGTCCTTAATTTGCATGTTTCTTCCTGAATTCTAGCAAGAAAAAAAAAGTGAAAAACGGCTCCTCTGTCCCTTTATATAGGCTCTTCCTACTTCCGGCGGATGCTAATCCCCTAACAAACAGGGTTTTACAAAAACCTATTTTTAATAGCGAAAACCGCAATTTTTCAAAATTTTTATGCGTGTGCAGTCGATTCCGGACCATTCTAAACCTATTGTCGTTTCTTCCCTGTCCAAAAAACCCTTCCCCGAGGCTGTAGGAGCGGAACATCCTAACGGAAGTGCATGCAAATATACACACACACACACACACACACACACAAACACTATTTTTTTATATATAGTAGGATTAGTAATCACTAAAACAGACTATTAATTCGGGAAACCACTCTTATTTTATTCGGGGAACTTATTCTTAGGCATACCGGGCTATAACGAATACAATTTTAAGCCAGCTACACGCTAAAAAGCGCAACATGAATTGAAAGCTTCCGATCCTTATTACAAGCAAAAAAACCACAAATTGGAGAAATTAAACCCAAATTTCCATTTCTGGGATCGATTTGGGGCGAAACATTCTTTAGTTTCTAGAAAAATCACTGACGACGAATTGCCGCGCTTTTAGCTGCCTAGCGCCGCCAAATGCCGACATAGTAGCCGAAGTGTGGCTGGGATTTTGAGAACAAGAATCAAACCTGGCGAGAAAAAAAAATTGGTGTAGGCGAAAACAGGTTGGCTTGAAAATGTCGTGGAACACAAAATTCTTAAAACTTTTTCTTGGTTGTTGGTTGCGGATTTTTACGCAATTTTCACGCCTTCCTTGCTTTCAGGCTGGAAAGGGGCTCTCAGGCCTTGCTTCCTTGGAAACGCTGTTGATAATCTGAAACAAAGTTCGGTTGGTTGGCCCCCAAAAGATGCTTCAACTAAAATTATAGATGAGTTGTTCTCAGGTTAACCAATGCGGTCCAGTTTCCCTTATATTAAAAAAATGATACAAAAACAACAAAATTTACTAAAGACACAAAACACCCATAGTTTCAAAAAACGACTTCTACGTTCTAATAAATCCACATTTAAGCTCCTAAAAAACTTGCTTATTATCTTACAGGGTCCGGATTTGCCCCCCCCCCCCCGCCCCGATAATACACAAGATCCGATGTTTGCAGATGGTAGCTGCTAAAGCATTGGCAGGACGCCTGGAAGGCCAATTGGTATTTCGCGGCCGTCAGGAGGGGAAAGTCAAGTAAAAAAATATTTTCCACCCCAGCAGCTACGGATCGGTGCCAAAAAACCTTTTTAACCCCCCGAATTACCCCCGAAAAGGGGATCATTTATTTTTGAGCGTCCCCATCCCCTCTGCCGTTAATTAGGGGGGCCCCCGGAAGAAGTTTAGCCAACGAAAATATGGGCCCCAATTTTGGTGTAGTGAAAATTTGATGTTTTAGCGAAATTAATGTAGTAGTGTTTGATCAAAAAATCGGAAAAGCAAAAATTTACTAGGTAAAAATTCGGTGTTTCGGCAAGATTGATATGGTAGTGATGTTGGTGATTGGCAATTCGCAGATGCAGGTAGATGGATGGATCGTAGATGGCAGATCGTAGATGGATCATATCACATCGTGAAAATTGGGTGCTTTGGCACTATCGAGGGTACGAAACGTACAAACATAGAATTTTTATTAAAAAAATCGAGTTTTACGAAAAAAATGCCAAAACGATTTTTTTCGATTGATGTGTTTTATCATATCTCCGCTAGCTGGTTTATTTCTTCACGGCAGTTTGCTTAACACCACCTTTGCTTGCCACAAATGCCTGGTTTTCGCCATTTTTTGGCAATTAGGGGGCCGCCGGGAAGGAGTTTAGCCATCGAAGAATACATCTAGGGCCAGGGGTGAGGGTCAATTTTGGTGTAGTGAAAATTCGGTGTTTTAGTGAAATTAATGTCAAATTCGAATTTTCGAAATTGCATTTTGTGAAAAATCATTTTGTCGAAATTTCAATTTGCGAACTTTTCGGATGAATAATCGAGGTGAGGAAGGAATTGGAATTTTGACAAACGAAATTTCGAGAAAAGATGTTTCGACAAAATGAAACTGAAAAAAGGCGTGCTACTGCTGAGGCTATCAAGGTTAATTAAGAGTATCGAAATTTCGAGCTTTTCAAAAATTTTCGAGCCAGAATCGATATTCTGATTTTCGGGATTCCCACTCTGCAGATTTTGGCAAGCCGGTGTTTAGCTTCACGAGTTTTCTTGAACGCTGAATGTTGCATTTTGCAAATTCAACAAAATTTACGAATAAAATTTCGGTGTTTTAGCTAAATTAGTATAGTCGTGATGACATTAGATGCCAATTCGTCGTCTTTTATAGTTGCTTCCAATCAAAATGGGGAATGCCAATTTAAGGTATTTCCGATTTTTTTCTTATTTTTAATTCCAAAAGTGATTGACAAGAAAATTGGCTCCCCACACCCAGCAGCTGCCACTCAAATTCAAATTGGCTTTTTCTAATTCCCGGTTCCATCAAGGTATTTGTTGATGTCGAGCTGAGGTAATAATGCAAATCTTATCAGGTTGTGCGTTTTTGAGATATTTGAAACACATTTTTGCATCAACTTTATTTCTTCCAAAGAATCGGTATTGAAAGGTATAGAATTGGTCAGCTACTTTCTACTAATACAAAAAGGGGAAAAAAGCCGTTCTGACAAAAAAATAGGTCGGGAAACTGAGACAATAATATCCTGTTCACTATTTCTGTTTTTAAATGACTCAAAACACATTGTTACACATTTTCTTGGAAAATCGATAAGATCGGTATGAAGAGCTTTAATATTTTTAATAATATTTATTGTCAAATCGAAAATATTTTTATCGTTTCTTGGAAAATGGAAAAGAATCAGCATGAAAATACATTTAATTCTGAAGCTAATCACGCCTATGAAGTACCAAGATAAAAGTATGTTTTGCTACAGAAAAAATTGAGACACAACTTTTTACATCGAATCGACATGAGGAAAAATCGAAAATCGTGGTACAGAGAATCGTTGAATAGCAGGTTTTTTCATATTTTTTTTGAAAAATGCACTTTTCGGGGAGATGTTAGTATAGAATCTAGAGGACTTTCATAATTTTGTAAAGCTGCTTTAAAATTTGTCCTCGACAGCCTCGGAGTCCTTGTCCTTTTTGGCGGTCGACACGGAGCCGACCTTGTTGCCGGAGGCCGTGCTGGCCAGGTGGCCAGTTTCTGAAATTTGCAATGTCATGAAAAATCACAAGATTTTAAAGGGGCGGGGAAGGCAAGATTTGCGAATTCGAAGCCAAGAATGCCAAAAATTACCGAAAACCATGCTTCGAAAAGGTTACCTACCAGGCTTTTTCGCTAAGTTATTATTGTCTTCAACGATTTGATCCGAGTGGTATATTTGCTAAGCTTGTTTTTAACTTGCCGTTTGCGAATGAATAAATTTTATATGCACAAAATTTAATTTGAAAACTCTGAATTTTTGTACGATTTTCAAAAATATGTTTCATGAAAAAATTATGCTCCCAACATCATGATTTTTTCAATCAACGACCCGTCACCCCCTTTCAAAAAATGTAAAATTTGAGATCGCCGTGGAAAATTGTGTTTCACAAAAAATCTGCTTCGTGACGTCTTTTACTAGTAGCTCCTGCCAAATCGAAAATTACAAGTTCAAGAAATTTTTTAGAATACAACAATTTAGAAAATTTTCCGATGTACGGGATTTTATTGGCACTATATTGATAACTAAATTCGTAGCCATTTGTACTCCCAGCTTATTCCCCCTTCAAAGCTTGCTGCAAAATCATAATTCGCATTTTTCCGGGAACTGCGAAATAAAATGTTTCGTCGGTCTTTAAAAAGCAGGGTTGGAATATGACAGTAGTCATGCCAATCCGAGATTTGGTCACAGATAAGCAAAAATATGGTAAAAACAAGTTTGTTCAAAGGTAAAGTTTGTAAACTTACTGGTATCTTTGCGGATGCCGAGCATCGTCAAGACGGCCGTGCGGATGGAGCGGTTGACGACCACGTACATCACGCCGGGCGCTCCTGAAAAGGGCATGCTAGCAGAGATTGTTGAGGAAGAGGAGAGGGCATGCTAGCAGAGATTGTTGAGGAAGAGGAGAGGGCAGGCTAGCAGAGATTGTTGAGGAAGAGGAGAGGGCAGGCTAGCAGAGATTGTTGAGGAAGAGGAGAGGGCAGGCTAGCAGAGATTGTTGAGGAAGAGGGAGAGGGCAGGCTAGCAGAGATTGTTGAGGAAGAGGAGAGGGCAGGCTAGCAGAGATTGTTGAGGAAGAGGAGAGGGCAGGCTAGCAGAGATTGTTGAGGAAGAGGAGAGGGCAGGCTAGCAGAGATTGTTGAGGAAGAGGAGAGGGCAGGCTAGCAGAGATCATTTGAAAGGGTGCTAAGGGGAGTGCGACACCAAACATACCATTTGAAAACTGCCACATCATCGTGGAGATGACGACGAAGAAGACGGGCACCGGGATAAACTGCATGAAGCAGTAGATGCCCGATGCGATCATCATGACGATGCAAATGGAGAGGCACTGGATGACCACCTGGAACATGTTTGGCCTGCCTCGATCCTGGACTTGTTTTGGGATACCGGTAATCCTGGCGTAACATCAAGAGTTTTGAAGTTTATTTGGAATATAATGTTTCAAAAAAATCAGATACTAAATTTTTTTCGTGAGATGTATTGACTCCTGTATTTGTTTGGTTTAATCCTCCTAACCGTTTCAGTATTGATTTGAAAACATTTTCGACGACATTTTTTTAGGTTATCAAAAATCAAATTGAGTCATTTTTCTAAATGACAGCTAAAGGGACAATGACTGCTAGTTTTTGTGAGTTCTTCAGTATTGGTTCATCTTTTAAACCTTTGAATTTAGGTAGTTATACCAGGTTTGGATTTTAAAGGGACGGTGTCAGCTAGAAAAAGGTGGCTCTATCCCAAATAACCGCCAACGGTAATCTCAAAAAACGCACGACTTTCTGCATGGTCGACACGCCGACGGAGCTCTTGCGGTAGAGGCGGACCAGGAATGACACCATCATCACCTGAAAAATAACAAATTTACTATAAATAAAAGATCAAAAAGCCTGTCCATTTTTATATTCTGGCAAAGCCAGCGTAATTGAAACGAATAGCAAAAATTAAATTTCTGAAAAAACATGTTTCGGAAAATTTTTATCATTAGCAAATATCTTTATTTTTACTGGATTGAATGATTACATTTCAGTTACCAATTTACAATCAAATAAAATTTCTAAAAAAAACAGGGCTTACAAATTGATGCTAGTGAGCTATTTGAGATTTTAATTCGGTTTCAAAATCCACGATTATCGATTTTTGATTTCATTATTTGAGGATTTTCAACGAAAATTTGTAAGTTTCAATTTTAAACCGTAGACCAGAGTTGAAAAACCGCTTCGCGGCTTTTCAACCCTGGCCCCGTCCAGGACCTGTGAAAGTCCTTAATTTGCATGTTTCTTCCTGACCTCTGGCAAGCAAAAAAAAAGTGAAAAACGGCTTCGCTGTCCCTTTATATAGGCTCTTCCTACTTCCGGCGTATGCTAATTTCCCCTAACAAACAGGGTTTTACAAAAAACTATTTTTAATAGCGTAAACCGCAATTTTTCAAAATTTTTATTTGTGTGCAGTCGATTCCGGACCATTCTAAACCTATTGTCGTTTCTTCCCTATCCAAAAAACCCTTCCCGAGGCTGTAGGAGCGGAACATCCTAACGGAAGTGCATGCAAATATACACACACACACACACAAACACTATTTTTTTATACAGTGCGGGTCAAAATGATAGGTCCACACACTTTTTCGCAATTTTCTCGGAGGAGAACGATTTTTAAGCTAATAGAAACAGCAGGTCTTATAGCCCTTGAAAAGACAAATTTTTTCATGTATTCAAAATATCTCTATAAAAACGGATCGCCGATTTATAAAGCAAACAATAAAATAGTGCCAAAAACCGATGTGTCAAAATGATAGGTCCACACTTTACATATGATTACAATCAACAATTTGTATGAATATTAGATGCTGATCGGGATGCAATGTAGAAAAATATGCATAGCAGCAATATTATCTCAAAAAAGTCAACCGGAAAATGATTACCATAATTAGAATATAATTAGCATCTAATATTCATACGCATTGTTGATTGTAATCATATGTAAAGTGTGGACCTATCATTTTGACACATCGGTTTTTGGCACTATTTTAATGTTTGCTTTATAAATCGGCTTCCCGTTGATTTCTAGACATTTCAAGTAGATCAAAAACTTCGTCTTTTTTAGGACTACAAGGCCTATTATTTGGGTTAGTCAGAAATTATTTCTCCGCCGAGAAAATCGACAAAAACTAGGTGGACCTATCATTTTTACCCGCACTGTATATAGTAGGATATTCATGGGCAATACTATATAAATTATAGTTTTGAAAATACGATTTTTCAAAAATGTGTCTGGTGCAGAGAATTTGAATTTTCGCAGTAAATAGATTTTGGTTTAACTCACGTTAAGAATCGACGCCACCGTCGTCACCACGAGGTTGTTGACCATGTGGATGGTATTCGCCTAGAATTAGGGGATACGGTAGCCGGAGAAATGTTTCGAAAAAAACTTGGTCAGAGTCGTCAAACAAAAAAACAATTCTGGCTCCGTTCCACTCGTTCCCCAGTAAGAATTCAAATTAAAAGAAGAAACTAACTAAAAATTCCAGAAAATTTGTCCATTTTCTTCTTTAAATGTTTTGTTTTACAATAAAGGACTTTTATTTCACCTTGAGATTTTGAGATTTGAATAAAAATAGCAATTTCGTCATCTTTAATTCGAAGAAATAGCAATTTTGAAATCGACCGCAAATATGAAAATATTGCTTTAAAAATAAAGCCACGAACTTAATTCGTAAATTTTGAATTCAGAAGTTTCAGAGAATTTACGGTTTCGCGTTTCGTAACTGATCGCAATTGTTTTGGCATGCCATTTTTCAAAAAAAAAAAAAGCCTCTTTTGATAAGTTTTTAACTGGCATTTCCCAATTTTTTGAAAAAAAAATGGAAAATACTGATGTTTCGCGGACTGATCCTAATAAACCATGCCTACAAGCAGAGATTATTGATGTTTAACATGCGGACTTGCGATTTTTACATATTTTGTAATGCCAAATCAGGATTTCAGAATTTTGGCGAACAATATGTTTCAAAACCCTAAAAATAGGAGAATTTTTTAAAGCCGTTGTTTCTCTTCCCGCTGACATAAAAATACACGAATTAAAAAACTAATTTAGTAAATAAAGATAAATAAAAAAAAAATTCACGCATTATCCGTGTTGACATTGATCGCGTTCTTTCAATTAATCCTTGTTAACGTTTTGTCGCAGCTTTTGAAAGAGCTTAGGTTTAAATTGAAATTCCAGAAATTGCGAATTAATGTCCTATGTTTCATAACCTAACAACAACGAATTTCTTCACAAGCTATAGTTAGTCTTTCTCTCCTAAATTTTTCTATCACAGCTTTACTTTTTAAATTAAGTATTTGATTTTTTATTGTGATTGAATCATTCAATTATTAAATTTGTTATTAAATTGAAATATATATTTTTTTCAATTTTACATATTAATAGTTACCTCCATTGGTTTGAAGATGTCAATGTCGAAGAAGTATCCTCCCATGATTGGGTTGAACTGCGAGGGGACGTCGGTGAGGAGGACGAACATCACGTATCCCACCGGGCCCAACCCAAGCCACACGTAGACGCGCCAGTCTTTGAAGAGTGACTGAAAATGTGTGTTTCAGCGCATAGCAAGGTTGATTTTGTCATGCCTAATTTAATAGGTCTGGGCGAGCTAGCTTTTTTCCTTGCGATCCAATTTCAAATATTACTTTAAAAATATTGAATAATACTATATATTCATAAAATTTTAAAATTTTATCGTCAGAGGAAGTGTTTCTTGTTTTTTTATTATTCATAAATAAACCTTGCAAAATTTTATAAAAAACCAGAATTTGTTTCCCAAGAAAATTTGCGTTTCAGCCCCTAGCAAAGTTCTTTTGGTCATATCTGATTTAATACCCGTGTCGAACTTAAAGTTAACTTTTTTGCATAGGATCCAATTTCAAGCATTTTAAAAAATTTTCTTATATATCCTTATTAAAATGGCAATAACTTTATAAATAGAAGAAGTCTTTTAAAAAAAATTTTACAATTCCTACCGAAAAACTCCGCAAATTGTTAAAAAAATACAAAAACTCGATCTTTCGAACAATATCACGATTTTTTAAAATATTTAATAGTTTTGGATAGTTTTCACTGGAATATTATTAAATCTTATTTAAAACATTAAAACTCTGAGTATTACTTTACTAGGAATTTCTGGGGATTCTGGAGGAAAATTAGGTTTCACCCAATATTCGAAAAAATTATTTTTCTATTCAATATAGCATTTTGATCTGTGAATGATTTAAACCCAGCTCAAGTTTTTAGTATATTTCAAAAATTCTGTAAAATACCTCAGCCAGTCTTGGCCATCCGAAATCGAGCGTCCGGTTCAGCCCCAACAAAATGGCGCACGAGCAGTAGCCGCACCAGAACGCTGAAAAAACGGATTTTAGCGGAGTTACGGTAACCAATAATCATTTTATAACTTTTCGCTTACCGGAATATTTGAAAATATTTTTTAGACGGATAAAAAATTTGAAAGATGGATATTAATATAATACAATCCCATAATTTTAAGCGAATTTTATCCTAAGAATAGCACGTCCGAATAAAGGTTAGAACATATTTACAGGATTGAAAATATATGAAACATCTTTTAGAAATGTTTTATAAATGGTTTTTATCAAGCATTTATACGGACGCAAGCCCAGCACATTAAGACCAGTTTACGTTCCAGGCCTTGACAATTTTTTGAAACATTTTTTTTTTATTCAGTTTCCGGTTTTTTTGCGGCAGCATCATTACAAATATTTGAAACTTTTTTTTTAGATGCCCCGTTTACAACGATAAAATATTTATTTTATTTAGCTTCAAAAGTTAATACGATAATTGAATTAAATACCGTATGCGATGAAGCCGAGCCAGACGTTCAGCAGCGGGTACGTGCAGATGGAGCCGCCCACGAATAGGTAGTAGCCTGAAATAGGGCAAAATTGATATAAGGAATTGTACGTATTAAATATTTTTATATTCTGAAATACTTTTTCTGCCAGATTATCAAGTCACTGAGTTTCAAGGTTTTTTAAACATTTAAATCCCCACCGGCCAATAGAGCGTTTGGCACCAAGCTGATAATATCCATTATGCCCATGGCGAACCTGCAAAAAAATGGGAAAATTTACTTTAGGGAGAGGAGAGGGCAGGCTAGCAGAGATTGTTGAGGAAGAGGAGAGGGCAGGCTAGCAGAGATTGTTGAGGAAGAGGAGAGGGCAGGCTAGCAGATATTGTTGAGGAAGAGGAGAGGGCAGGCTAGCAGAGATTGTTGAGGAAGAGGAGAGGGCAGGCTAGCAGATATTGTTGAGGAAGAGGAGAGGGCAGGCTAGCAGATTTGTTGAGGAAGGGAGGGGCAGGCTAGCAGAGATTGTTGAGGAAGAGGAGAGGGCAGGCTAGCAGAGATTGTTGAGGAAGAGGAGAGGGCAGGCTAGCAGATATTGTTGAGGAAGAGGAGAGGGCAGGCTAGCAGAGATTGTTGAGGAAGAGGAGAGGGCAGGCTAGCAGAGATTGTTGAGGAAGAGGAGAGGGCAGGCTAGCAGAGATTGTTGAGGAAGAGGAGAGGGCAGGCTAGCAGAGATTGTTGAGGAAGAGGAGAGGGCAGGCTAGCAGAGATTGTTGAGGAAGAGGAGAGGGCAGGCTAGCAGAGATTGTTGAGGAAGAGGAGAGGGCAGGCTAGCAGAGATTGTTGAGGCAGAGGAGAGGGCAGGCTAGCAGATATAATTTTCCTACATAATTTTGTAGCAGGCATGCTGGAAGAATTCCTTGTTCATCATGGCGATCAGCACCGGGATGTAGATGAGCTCGTAGGTGAAGCCGGTCACCAGGTAGACGGAGCCTAAATCACAAAATTGCGCTTGTTTAATGAAGCGAAACGCAAACAAAAAGCGGAAATAAGGGTTTTAGGCGCCTAAAAACAATGTTTCGAAAAATGTTAAAACTAGCGAATTGTAATTTGCAGCAATGACTAGGTAGAAAATAATGAGGCGAAAATTTTTATGTGAAGTTCTGTTTAAACTGACCGAGCATCGGGTTGGTGAACTGGCTGTAGGTGCCGTTCAGCTCCAGGCACTCCTTGTGCACGTAGCCCCAGTAGTTTGGGTGCACAAAGTGGAAGATCTGAAAAAAATGTTAGGTGCGTATTTTCCCACCAAAGTTAACCACATTTTTTATTTTCCGCTTGCGCAGTTTTTTAAAAAATGATGAAACACAATTTTGGTAGCTGCGAATCACTCATTTTTAAACAATGTGTATCTTAGGCAGGAGCGGATTAAAACTCAAGATAAAAATAGCAATTAGCTCTTCGAGGGCAGTTTAGTAATATCAAAGGAATACCGTCGCGCATGTTTTAAGAAAAAGCGTATTTTATTTTAAGAAAGAACAGAAAGGAAGCATTAACATTAAAATTTTCAAGTTAAGCATAACAGAGTTTTTATAATAAGGTTAAACTTTACAACAATTAGTTTTCAAGGCCTTATTTTTAAGAGAAGACGGAATTCAATTTTTTTTATTATAAATCCAGAAGCCGTTCACAATATCAGACGCCGAAAATCGCAAAAAAAAATTACCTGTCTCCAGTTGGCGCTCTTTTTAAGCAGAGTTGTAACTTATTTTTTTAAGAAAAACGGATAAACCAATTTTAAGCCAGATGACGCGTTTTTGAGGTTTTTCAATAATCTCTGATTTGATTTAAGATTTTACTCAAAATTAATATCCTTTACAAATCTTTAAATATGAAAGAAAATGAAACTCAGTTTTTTTCGTACAAAGTGAATTAAACTTTTCTAACAAAGATGCCTAAATATTTCTTACATTATTTTAGAATATAAATGTATTGCATAAATTACCGTACCTGCCCGAGTAAAGTAGCTTCCGCATCGGCAATAATCTGCTGCTCGAGCTTGGCCTGGTCGGACCACATATCCGCCCAAGCCGTCAGGTTTCCGCGCCAATCCCATTGACCGTCGGCCGGTCTTGGTTTCATTTTGGCTCTAAAATCGGATAAAATTCAATAAACATTAGTTTTATATTTCGTAAAGGAAGGAAAAGGAAAAATTACTTACAAAAAATATATTTCAGCAAAATGGATTGAGAAGCGTTCACCTTTCACGCCAATAAGTTTGAAATCGGTTTGTTTTGCTAATAATGGTGTCACATACCTTTATATGCTATATTATTTAATTTTAAATAATATAAAAGATCCTGCAAGATTTAAATACAGTTCTAATAAATTTCAAAAACTTTTTAAACCTCTAAACCTTAAAACAACTATTCTCGATTTTTGCAATAACCGGTTTTCACTTGCAGGGCTGTTTTCACTATACTGTAGCTTTACTTTTATAATTTTGAAACTTGGCAAGTTCCAATATAGGCAGCATTCTCTCTCTATAGCATGAAGAATTTTGGCCAGTCGGTATTATGGATGTCGGGATTTTAGACGTCGGTATTCCGGCCGGAATTCCACTTCTAAGAATAATTGGTGGGAATAGATGTTTCACAAAAATGTACTTACGCTGCGTTGGATGTGGAGAATAATGAGCTCCAGGTCCTGTGTTTTTCTATTAAAATCGATACTGCTCCCATCCTTCAATTTATTGCCTTAAAAATAGAAGAAATGGATGCTATAAAAACTACCGTAATCCGGAATCTAGCCGGAATTTTTAAGCCTATTTTTCCAAAACTTTTACAAAACCCGAAGTCAAAATGTGAGAAAATCCATGTTACATAAATGTTTGCAAGCCGGAAAAATTATAGATCTGGAATTTAAGAACAAATATTTATTAATTTTAATTCAAAATCGACCTTGATTAAATGATTGCAGAGAAACCTTATAATTATGGGTATTGGAGTTACCGTAATCCAAGCCAGAATCGAGATTTTCCGGATCAAAATTGTTGCGCCCCTTAAGCCACGCCCCTTTCAGGTATACGGTAATGCAAAATGACACACACAATCGCACCAATTGAGCCACTGTGGCTTTTAAACTCGATTTTTCGGGGGACTTAGACGGTTAGCGATTCCCCTAAAACATGCTTCAAAAATTAAAAAAAAATTTGGTGGATTAAAGGGGCCATTTTTTGTTGGAATAGCTGTTTTGCATCTCCAAATTCGTTTGTTTACAATTGGGTCTAAGGGATTTATAAAATTCTGAAGAATCCGGAATTAGGCCTTAATCGAGCTTTACGCCAAAAATAAAATTCCATAATTTTCGAAAATTGTGTTTGAGTCAATATACTTGGTAAGCGCGCCAATTGTGTCCTAATGGAACTTGATCTTTATCGGAATTTGTTGGCCTAAGAATAGAAGAAATGGATGCCATAAAAATTACCGTAAGCCGGAAATTAGCCCGGACCTTTTAAAAACCCAACTTTTTCAAAACGCCCCACAAAAACCTACGAACAAAATGAAAGAAATTCAATGTTAGATAAAATTATAAACACTGAAAAAATTACGAACCTTGATTTGACAATCTTAATTAAATGAAGTTTAAGAGACTTCTTTAAATTAGCAGTGTTCAGAGCTACCGTAATCCGAACCCAAGGGAAAATCTAGCTCTCCCGGATCAAAATTCCAGCACCCAAGGAACTGTGACCTCAATCTAGTCGCCAGACCCCTGAAGCCACGCCCCTTTCAGGTATACGGTAATGCAAAATGACACGCACAATCTCACTAATTAAGCCACCACGGATTTTAATCTCTAGATTCCGAGGGGCTCCATTGTACCCCCAGTGGGCACAAAACGCCGCCTGGCAATCCAGCTAACGACCCGATTGTCTCACCCTGCTTTCATCACAATGCCTCCCCGCCACCAAAATGGAATTCTAATTTTTTAGAAAATTTTGAAAAATAGGTTCGGTGGAGCTTTCCGGAAAATTGAGAAATCGGGCGCTTTTGTCCGATTCGTTTTCCGCGAGAGATCAACGAATGCAAAAACGGTGTATAGCGTAGCTGGGGGAATAACTAGAGAATTGGAAATTAGAATGCCCCGATTAAGCTGATGGAAACAATTAGATCTACGATTTCTGCTAGCCCTACGGTAGCGGAAATCATCCATTTGGAGTTTTGTGTTTTGATTCCCTTTTGCAAAAAAAATTAGAAAAGATGTTACAACTATCTTTCAAAACCGGGATTTTTTTTAAATGGTAATAGAAACTCAACGTCCTTTTTTATGTTCGAAGCTAGGGAGCGGATCATTATACTGCCCGCAATTTGGAAAATTACAAAAAAACAGAATCCACTCTTTTCGCAATATCACTACGGTATTTTTACTACCACGAGATTTTTTGGGTTTCAAAAAAATTATGACGCTTAAATTTAAAAAATTCGTGTTTAGCGAAACATCAATTCTCATGTCTTTTGACAAAACTGAGTTCCACGATTTCTACTAGCCTAGAAAGCGATGAAACTACGGTATCGGAAGCCATAGATTCCTTTCTGGGCTTTGAAAAGTTATGTTGCATCACATTTCCAGAAGTGTGTGGTTGAAAAATTGGTAATAAGAAGTGGCCTTGCTAGGAAACCATTGGCCGTACGGTAATTCCGTCGACTATAATGGCCTCGATTAAAAGCACGTAATACCCCAATAATATAACACAAAATTTCTGCAAAATTTCGCATGCCTTTTTTGACAACGCGTCCATTAGTGTAATGTGGCGCGGCGGTGCGTGACTTCAGCTAACACGGCTTTCCAAAATATTGCTTTTACTTGCTAAAAGGCAGCTTTGTGCTAATTTTTGTTCCCTTATTTGTATTTGTTCTTTATTATTTATTGTGTTTTATGCTGATGTTTGGACAATATTAAGCTAGACGGTTTTTCTTTAACCGCCTGAAATGAAAAGAGTGTTTTCGGTTGAATAATTAGAAAGAAATTCGCGGCTTCATCGATTTTTTTGGAACATTTTTCTTGACATCTTGTAAATTTTCGGCATAATACGCCTCCATGATAAATTTAAAGCAATCTTGGATTTCCTCATTAATGGTACAAATCCGCGCCAATCTTCTTTAACGATCTTTCCAACTCTTTTTCAAAGCTTTTTGTTTCTTTTAAAACTAAGTTAGGACGTAAAAACGTGATATTTTAATCATGTTTTTTATTCTAAGCTTTGAGGCACTAGGATGCAAATGCGGTCAGTGATGTCGTAGTGACTAAGGAATTGCCACCTCTTAGGATTTAAAAAAATTTTGAAACACCTCGATTTCCCTAAAAAGCCAGCGGATTGTATTGGATTGTTTTATTATATTTTGACAATTTATTAATGTTTATGATCATCTAATATTATAAATTTTGGTTATTCCGATTATCGAAAAATAGCTCCTATTTCCAAAAAAATTCTTTTGCGAAATGGAAATTTAGAAAAGCTCAAAAATAGCTGTTAAATTATTTTTAGACGAACAGACGAACCACAGAACAGTACAGAATTTCCGTCATGATACGCCCCGATTCACACGCAATTTCTTGGTCACCCCGTAAAAAGGGGTATCGCCGGCTCGGCGGCCCGGTTTTTTGCCGAATTTACATGCCAACTTTCCCAGCCGAAACACGTCGCTGTAGGCTGGTCGAGATCTAGTGAGCACTTATAGGTACGTGGGCGTCTCTCTCTCTCATTCTTCTCTCAGAAAATATGTTTCAACGGTTTTCAAATCAAATTCCTCGAACACTTGATGAATCGACGAAGAATGGAATATTTTTAATCCGAAATTAAGCGACTTTTAGGGTAAGTGAATGGACAATGCCCGATCAGGAAGTGCTTTCGGTTCTGAAAGCGCGCGAAAAATATGATTTTTCTTCATACACCGCATGGACGATTGAATTATGCAAACCTTTCACAAAATACAACGAACCGATTCTCAAACCTATGTGAAACGTATTGTTTTCCTTACCTATTTCGCGGGTTTTCCCAGGCTTTTGTGGCGCGAAAAAACATTGTTTCATGTAAGTACGTTGTTGCGTAGGCCTTCAAATTCTTAATACGTCGTCCTTCTTTTTTGAGGATAAATTTCCTACAGGGTGCGTCAAAAAAAAAAAGCCAAGTTTGCACCAAAATATCTCGCTTATCTTTGAGAATCGAAGGTACGTTACCATGCCAGAATGCTTAAATATGCTGGGTATGAAGATTTAACACAACTTGATTTTTTCGATTTTTGAGTACGCAACTGTACTATTGACGCTGGTTACGACCGAAAATTGTGCGTTCTTGAACGGGTGGTGGAAAAATTCTGATTTTTGGCCTATAAATAGTTGATATTTGTAGAAAAATAATAGCAAAGTCTTAGAATTTTTAAAGGTTTAGTTCTTTTTTTACAGGCAAAACAAATTTCCCTATTTTGCTTATTTTTACTTTTTAATTCGCAACTCGCTTCAAATGCGCTGCCCATGGCTGATCTTTTGCAGATGGTGTCTCCGAATGATAATCTTTAGCACAACACCAAATTTTACCTGATTCTATGGTATTTTAATATTGCTTGCTAAAACGTGCCCCAGAGGGATACTGTAGTTTTCGTTTTCCGCGTTTTTCTTTTTATTGTAAGCTGCGATTTCGCTTAAAATTTTATCATTGGTAAACATCAGTAAGGGTCACCTATTGGCCAAAGATCGTGGAGTTCCAGCCATACACCTTCTTAAAATATGCAAAAAAACTTATTTTTGAATTTAGCCACGGAAATGTCTAAATATTTTGATGCATCGGACCAAAAACTACTATTATTTGTTTTCCCGAAAGATCGAAACGTTTCTATGGTGAAAAGAACGAGAAAACGGCGATTTTCTGTTTTCTACAGTAACCCGCCTGGAGCGCGTTTTAGCATGCCAAGACAAAATGCCATAAAATGCCGATTTTTCTATTCTATAGTGTTCTCTGGGTGATTGTAAGAGCACCTACAAAAAATTACTTGATTCCTGTGGCAAATGACAAAGTTATAAGGGAAAGAGGAAAACCCCCCTCGGACCCCGATTTTGGACCCGAGGCCCCGGGCTGAAAATCGAATTTTTGAAAATGAAAAAGGCACCGGATTTTCGTGATTAAAATTAACGTACGCATCGAACAGTGTATAAAAGCAGAATTCTGGAATGATCTGGCTGAAGTTAATGGTTAATTTTGATTTAAAACCCGAAAATAACGTTTTTGAAAAGTCGACTTTGGGGTGCTCTTCTAAATTCGTTTGCCATGAAAAGGGTTTGTATTTGCATGCGTTTTAGTTGGCTATCCAAGCTTGGTCTATGCCAGAAAAGTCGGGGCTCCTCAAGCCTCGAGAATTTTTTTACGTCGCCTCGAATTCGGGTATATTTGCACTTTTCATGAATTTCTTTTGAGAGATTGGATGGCCCAATAAATTTGTAAATATAATTTTAGAACGCGCCCATTAAGTAGTATTAAATAAAATTATGACAATAATTCTAGCCGCGCAAATGAATTTTATAGATTGGCACGAAGATCTGCGAAATAGCACGAACCATCCGTTTTGGAGGCGCTAAAATGCAACCTTCCAAAGGGGTACGGTAGCTAGAAATTGTGTACATGATAGATGGACTCCAGTCCTACACAACCAAGCAAAGCAAACACCGAAATTCTATCTGCAATTTTATAAATATTTTTCCAAAGTTCAGTTTCGAGACCTCGAAAGAATCCATGACCAGGGGGTCGTCGAAAAACTCAAAAATCCGCGGATCTGAAAATTTTTTTTGATATTTTTGCGGGATTGTATCGAGCCTATAGACATGCTAAAACAGCTTATGTTGAGGTTTCTACCATAGGTTTTTGTAATATCCGAAATTTACGAAATTTCTCCATATTAAATTTGAGCATGCTATAACTTGCCAACCAGACCTTCGAAAATTCCAAAACTCCGGATGTGCGTAGGGGCAGTCCTTAGGTACCTACACTGTAAAAATTGGAAGTGTTCGACCACCAGCAATCCTAAAAAAATACAAACAAAGTTTTGCCGGAACGCACAGTTTTCGGGTGTCATTTGTATTGATACGTCGCCAAAAATCGAAAAAATCAAGTTGTGTTAAATCTTCATACCCAGCATATTTAAGCATTCTGGCATGGTAACGTACCTTCGATTCTCAAAGATAAGCGAGATATTTTGGTGCAAACCTGGCTTTTTTTTTTTGACGCACCCTGTATACTTTTGATTTCCTGATTTTGATTGGTAGTTTTCTTCACTCAAAAACGTCTCCTTGTTAGCCTTCCAAATTCTTAATCCGCCGCGGTGTTGGCAGCACGGAATTTTATTTTTTGTTTTTATTGCTCTAATTAAAATTTTAGCAGCTAATTTTCTATTTTGTAGCTCTCAGCTTTTTAATGCCAGGGTTTCTTTTTTCCATTTTTCGGATTTTTCAAGATTTTTAAGCTTTTTATGTTTCCAAAAAGAAATTTTTTTGCTTGCTTGCTTATTGAGGTTTTATCTGCGTTGTTTAAAAAATGTTTCGAAAAATTTGGCAACAGCGCAAAAAGGAAACGTAGTAATCGTCCAAAGCTCAATACTTTAATGCTTACTTTAATTCTAGATTTTTCTACAGGTTTCGGCCTTTCTATGCTTTTACATTTCCGGTTTTCCAAAAAAGACGTGTCCTTTTTGAAAACTCCATTCCACCGGTCGCCTCATTTTCCTGAGTGGATTCCGGTCCGGCTTTCCCCCCCAAAATCCGGACGAGGGTCCCAATATTCGATTACGGGACACCGTTTAGGGGGTTGGACCCTCCGAAATGGTTGTCCGTCCTAAAAATTGACGAAACCTCGACATTTTCGACATACACGATTTTGTGAAACACCTATTTTCTCGCTGCTCGTTTTTTACTTTCGATATTTCGCATAACTTAATTTCTATGGCTTCGTCCAACAATTCAAATAACCCGCCGAAATCACCGCGAAAATTGTGAGTTTCCTAGCGTCTATATATCTAGCTTCATTATACAACATTTAAATTAGCTTAGAAAAAAAATTATTATTATTTATATTCTAAGGATTAAGAAACAATTAAAAATTAACTTTAATTTAATTAAAAACAAATTCTACAATTTATAAATGCTGCAAGACAAAGAGTTTCCATTTTTCCTAAGGGGGTTAATTCAAAGTCATTTAAGGCTATAAATTACCGCTGCAAAAAACAATTACGATTAATTATGGATTATGGATTTTGCAGACATCACAATTTCTATGAAACACCCTTTTTTCAATATTTCGAAAAGTGTTTTTTATCTATTAGAATTTTATTTATTCGACGCTCCGCTTGCTGTTTTGTTAGAATAAGATTTTTGAGCTGAAAATGCGATTAAAATAGGTTAAAATTGTTTTCTAGCGAAAATTTACTTATATTGGGGGTGGCATCAAACTGAGTTAATTGTAGCCCTACGAGCAACACCAAATCCCTCTTTTCTTGAAACATCTATTGGCTAAAATTTTCTTTTTAAAAGGCTTTATTTTACTCAATTCCCAATAGAAATAAGACTAAAAAAAATTGACCTCCGTAAAATCTGTAAATTTCACTTTCAGCGCGAAGCGCAGCTCCGAGGCCGACGGCGAGATTGAGGACATTTTAAAGTTGCTATGCTCGGATTTGAAAAATTCGGATCAAAGGTGGCCGTAGTTTTTAGCTTTTCGATTATATTATTATCTAAAACACTTTCAAACAAACTAATTTTATCTTGAAACTGTTATTTTTCGATTATATTTTAAAACCACTATTTTAATATTTTAAAACAATTTTTCAGAGTCCCCAGCCAGTTTCATTTCGCCAAAACCGCCGCGGCCGTGCAGGTCAGCCAAGCTGAAGGCAATTCTTCATTTTAAACCATAATTTAAATAATTTTAGAAGCCAAATCCGTGCAAAATGTGCCGGACTCGCCGAGCAAGCGCACCCCGAAGAAGATGCCTAAAGTAAGACTTGCGCGTACATTTGCAAACCTCCTTTTTAATTTCCAGATTTTTCCATCGAGGCGCACCCCCTCGAAGTCGCCGGCCCGGCAGCCTGGCGCCAAGAAATAGAAAATAAAACTTGGGTTCTTTCGCATTTTCGGGGAGGGGAGGGGGCAAAATTTTTGTGCAAGCCTAGAAATGCCTAGTAACTTAATAGGGAGTATTTTAATCGTGTTTTTAGTAAAATGAAGCTATATTTCAACTAGCAACATTATCTTAAAAAATGTCAAAAATTCGAATTTTGGTCGTAACATCGAAATTCTTTTGTATTTTTTAATAAAAAATTTGTAAACTTTTTACGCCTAGGAATAATAAAAAACACTTTAGAAACAGTTTAACTATTCATATTTAAAAAATTGAATACTAAGGAAAAAATTTCGCCCCCCGATAATGAGAAAGAACCGGAAACATGCAACGTTTTCTTAGCCAAAAAAATAAACTAATCCACGTTTACTTCAAAAACATACAATACACACAGAGCAATTTCACACGTGGCTAGAGAAACGGGGTTACGGAATACAATTCGAGACCGGGAGCGCGGGGAGCTTTGGATTTTCTCTACAACGTTTTTACAGGTTTCAAAAGGTATCAAGGGATGGTCAACACGTTTTCGGGTTCGGAATAAATTAGTTAAATTAAGGGGACGGGCGAGCAGAGATTTTCCGAGATGCTGAAATGCCGAGATCCGGTTAACGATTCTTGGGGATTCAAGCGGGCTTTTTGAAATTATTGATCTCTAAACGTGAATTTCGGTAATTTTGAGTCAAAAAAGATAGATTTTTCGCCTAAATTTGTAGTTTTTGAAAAGCTTGTTAATGAAATTTTAGCTATTTAAGTAGAAAACATCTAAAAAATTACAAGATGTCGCCACATGCGAAATTTTCGCCAGTTTCGCTAAAAAAGCAATTTTTGCACTGACAATATGAATTTTATGATGCAAATTTGTAGTTTATTTTATAAAGAAGCGAAATTCGATTTTTGAAATTTTAAAATTGTTTACCTCGCCCGAATCCCAAAGAACCGTGTGCCCAAAGTATCTCTGCTCGCTCGCCAACGTTTTAGGTTTCAACAAAATGGGGGGGGGGAAGAACACGGATCACAATCAAATGACAAACCGGTAGACGCTGTTATCGGGGACCGGCCACATAGGCCCAAGCACGCAAAAACGACCAACATTTTTTCGGGGGATCAACGGCGGAAGATGAGATCGTAGTGACCGGGGCGGTAGAGAAGCACGACCGGCGGTGGGTGCGCCGGGTCCGCCGGGATGTCGTAGTGTGTGCCACCGTTGGGGACGGCCGTCTGGTCGAGGTACTCGATGCGAAGGGACAGGCCTGAAAAGAGGATTTCGAAAGTGCGTCCTACAAATGTAAAACACAGCCGCTAAATAAGATACAACCTTAAAAACGGAACTTTAGTTCTCAGAAATTGAAAAGTACGTCTTGTAGTAAAACTTAAAGGGCTGCCGACGGCATGTGTCGATCCCCCCCCCATCAACAAATTGGCAAGTAGCCAACAGGGGAGAGAGCGCGCCCAGGGGAGAGGCGCAGAGACATTTTCTTTTCCGCGCGTAACCGATTGACTATGCCGTCGGCATCCCTTTAAGCAACATACGGCGAGTTTACCAATTCAACCCCTCACCTAGCCCGCTGACGAGTCCCTGAATGGCCAAATGGTCGACGTCGCGCCACATCGTCTCAATCTCCTGGGCGCAGTACTGCTCGAGCGGCAGGCCGTTGTCGATGAACGGTGCGTACTCGTCAGCGTGCTCCTTCAGGTAGCCGGAAGCGACGAGTCTGGAAAATGACACTTTTACAATAATTTTTTACACATTTTCGAACATGATATTTTTGTAAACAGCCTTTTTACCACAAAAATACCAAAAAAAGTAATTTTTTTTGTAAAACACTTCTTGAAAATTAGAAATTCGAAATATTTGCGCGGCTACCAGTAGGAAAAGGCAAAAATCATTAAAAATTAATTCAAAGAAACGATAAATTCGACTAAAAACACACCTCAAAAATATGACGTAATAGTTGGAGTACTCGTCCTGGTTGCATTTGGTCAGCGCCTGCTCGAGAGTCAATTCGTGTGCCAGGATTTGATTCAACAGCTCGTAGAACTAAAAGATATAAAAATCAGATTCCGAGTGCTTACCACATCGCAGAAGTCGGTGGTGGTCATCTCCTGGAAGCCGAGTCTCAGCAGCCGGTCTTTCCAGCCCTTACACACCGCGTCGAAGCTGAAAATTCGGGGTTTAAAAGCAAGAAAGATAGTTCCTACCGTCTCAGCTCATCCGGGTCACGCACAATTCGCTCGACTTGGGCGGCAAGTACGGCGCGGTAGAAGCAGTTGCCGTCACGGCGCATCGGGCGTATCCACGCGTACGTGTCCGACAAGTCGCTGGCCTAAAAGCAAAAAAATTAACTTTCCACTTCTCCAAAAATCTCGGCTTGCCTGCCTTTCTCCTATTCCTCAACAACCTCTGCTAAATTGCCCTCTCCTCCACTTTTCCAAACTCTACCTTGAAATAGAATTCTGGCGTTTCGTGAGGCGTATACTCTTGCACTACCACATCGAAGGGTATCTTCGGGCCGATGAGAGGAACCATTTTTGTCTGAAAAATCCGAATTAAATCATCTTTATAAAGCCATACCTCTTGCTCAATATCGCGCAACTGTTGGTCCTGCTGCTCAATGTAGTTCTCATCAGACAAGTGATCGGCTAGCCGCTCGGAGGCGCTGTTGCTTTTCTAAAAACTCAGTTTCTAACAAAGTCCTAAAAAATTTCCAACCTCCGCCGATTCGGCCTGCTTCGCCGGCAGCTTTTCCACGATGTCTCCGGCAGTCATGCTGCTAAAAATGGGGGATTTATCCGTATGACGAGTGAAGGCGCGAAAAGAGCGAGCAAACAAAACGCAAAAAAACAAGTATAAACGTTCTCCTGGCAGACTAGTTAACAAAGTGCAAAAAATTCAGGAGCCTAGCCAAAAAAAGACCGAAAATCACACAAACATGTTGGCTAAAATGAAGCACTTAGAAAATGTCGCACGATTCCTACGCTTGTAATAATGCAATTAGAAGTATCTAAGGCCTAAAATACGTTACTCGTTGATAACTTAAAGCAAGTATTGCCGTGCGAACCGTGCGACATTTCCTAGTGCCAAAAACATCATCAGATAAACTCTAAAAATCAACAAAAACGCTAAAAAGGTACACGGGGCCTAGGATATTCTATTATTCCACTTTCTTCTCCTCCAAATTGGCTTCCACGGCCTTTGGCGCAACGGCGCGCATCAACAACTTTTCGAATTCGTCGGTGGACACCGTTTTCTTGCTGGATTCCAGTCGTAACGTGTCGCCGAACATTTCCTTCATTTGCGCCCCAAATTGGCGTGGCGTATTGACGCTGAGCAGCCACGAGACGCCGACGACGGCCAGCGTAAATCCGGACACGGTGATACATGTGGCCAGGGCGAGGGCGCGTGTCGCGAAGCCGACCCCGGAAAAGACTTCGGCTTGCTTTAGGTGCTTGGCCTCCTCGAAGCGGCTGTACTTCCACGCCGATCTCAAACCGGCGGCCAGCGTGACGAATGCTGTCCCCGCCACGGTGCCCTTCACGATGTTGCCGGCGGTGCTGGTGCCTGGTCGCTCGTCATCCTGGGCGGCGGAAGTTGAGGTCGATTGACGCTCGGACATCGAGCCTGAAAAAGGGATGAATTTAGAGGCTTTACAAACTCGAGAATTGTAAGAAATGAAATGCAACCTAATAAATAAAAAGGAATCGGTGCTTTTGCATTATTGGGGGGGGAGAAACTTTTTCCTCAGGAATTAATTTTTCGAACATAAATACTGATTTATTTCCCTAATTTTGTGTCGTTTTTACGCTTTCTAAAGTACAGAAGGTGCTTTAAATCATGCTCGCTGACGGTAAGCCTCAATTGAAAGGTTCTACTACAGCAAATATTGTTTCGAAACAAGAAATAATCAATAAAAATCGTTAACCTTTTAGCCCGTTTTGCGGGCTATTTTGAACGCCTTGCGCCCAAAGCCATGGCTCCAAAGCTGTAACTCGGCCAGGTCGGCATCGAGCTTTATTTAAACTACCGTTTTATACATTAAAAACTTCAAAAACTACATCGATTTACTGTAATAAAACAACCTTTTCGCGTTAGCCGATGAAAAAAGTCGGCCCTGTCGACGCGCGCATTCTATCGGAGTGTCGATAGGTTTGCGTCGTACTCCAGTTCGAATCTCAAAAATCTTCAACTTCAAAGCTTTTATTTTGTTTTGTAAATTTTTTTTTTACAAATTTGAGCGGAATCTGGAAAATATCGATATTTTAGGCTAGCCCCGTGCGTTGCGACGCTCCACACGGATGGCGACCCACAAAGAATGGGAGGTGAGGGCTTTGAAAAATACGAGCATAAAGTTTGCTCTACATTTAGTTATTAAAATTTTGTTTAGAAACACACCGCCGTTTTCACGGCCGTGCGCCGAGGATCGTTGATGCAGGAGCTCGACAAATTCAGCGACGACCAGCTGCAGCCCTTCCTGCCCCTGTTGGTGTCGTCAAAATTCGGGCCGAATTCGAGCAGCGTTGCGGTGAGGGATTTTTTGATGATGTAGAAGAGAAAAAGTTGAAACGAAGATGTAATGAAGCTTCATTTGCTCCTGAGCTTTGAAATGAAGGTTTTGAAAGGAAAATTGGATCTTTTCAGGTTTTGGAAAACAAAATTTGTACTTAGAAGCTTTTACTTTCCAACTAGAGCTTTTCACTTTTAACCAATTGCAACTTAACGACAAAACATAGAAGATGTGAAACTTCAGCTTCTCCGAAGCTTTAAGCTTTTAAAAAAATTTATTTCGAAGTTTTAGGGAACAGGATTTTTACTTAGAAACTACTTTTAAAATAAAACTTTAACTTTTAAAGACTTTAAACTTACTTTAAACTTTTCTTAAGCTACCTTTACTCAAAAAACAAGTTTTTTAATGAATTTTCATATTTCAGCCCGAGCTCTTCGCGCGCTTGACGACCTTCTCGCGCGAGTCGTTCATCCTCGACTGTTTGAAGGTCGACTACACCGAGGTGGCGAAACGGATCAATGGTAGGCATCGAATTTTCAAGATTTTTTTGCTTTTGAAGCTCATTTTCACAAATTTCATCATTTTTAGACTTCTCCAACTACAACACCACCTCGAAGAGCCCGGCCGACAAGTACGTCTACTACGTGTCGAAGCTGCTGCGCACAGGTTTGTTGCGATGAAAAAAAAGGTTGGAAGTTTTTAGAAATCGTCGATTCCAATCTGCATCAATGGGTCGGCGACAGCGAGCTGCCGATGGCGACCTTGTTGCTGTCGTTGGCGATTTTGCACATGCCATGTAGGTTTTGAGGTTTATTTTCTACGTTGTATGTGTTTTTTTAAAAGCGTCAATTTTCAGCTGTCGTGAAGACGTCGTTGGTGGTCACCCGGCTGTTGTCGATCCAAAACGGCCCGCAGATTTTGGCGGAGGTAGGCAAATTATCTTATTTATTCCCGGTAGTTTAACGAGGTTTTTAATGTTGGAATTTTTGTTAATGACATCGTGTGGTAAATTTTAATAAATTAGATATAATGAAAATTAACTTTTTATCGCTTAAAAAACAGAAATTATTCGATTTTAGATAGCTTGTAACGTCCCTTCCGAGATCGATCTCATCATCCAGGCGCTTTTGACGGTATTTAAAACTGTCTTTTTAAACAGTTTTTGTGTTTTAGAAAGTGACGCCCGAGGACACGCCAAAGGGCAAGAATCGCGAGCAAATGTTGATGAATGTGGGTTTTAATCATTATTATTATATTTTATTTTACAAAGTTTTATGAAAATATCTAAAATAATTGTTTATTTTTTTAGTTACTCTCCCTATGCCCGGTGCTGATCACCGATCGCGTCTTGGCCAAGTTGACGGAGCACAAGCGCGATGCCGCCCTAGCTGCCCGGCTTTGCGCACTAATAGTATATTCTAGAAATAAATTTTATTAAAATTAATTGAGGGCTCCGACACGCAATTCGTGAGGTTCATGTCGTCCCACCTGACCGACAACACCTCGCCCGTCCACATCGTCATCAGAAGGTCAAAAATACTCGATTTTCGAGTAAATCAGTGTTTTCAGAAGCGCCCAAAAACCGCAAGTTGTCGCGCCGATCCTACAGCGAACTTTTGCAATCCTGAGGAAGCTGGTGGAAAGGTCGGCTTTTTTATACTTGAAGATATAGTATATACCATTTTTATAGTGTTTTTGATAAAATTTATCTATATTTCCAGCGGAAAAGTCTTTTTAAAAACCAAAACGGAAACTTGGAAAATTGGTCGAATTTTTTGGTTCTCGGTTTTAAATATATTTATTCAGCAAAAACCATGAGCCGAACCCGGAATTTATCATGGCGCTCGCCCAGCTGAAGATTCTTTGCCAAGGCAAGCCGAGTCGCGAGGATCTCGAGCTGCTGCAGCAGTACTTGACGTTTAAAGTGAGTTTAAGTTTGTTAGATGGAAGATGATTTTTTACAGATTCCAGTCCACTCGCATACGCACGCCGCGCTCTGCGCGCTGCTGTCGATCACCTCGCTGACGAGGTGGGGTTTTCTAAATTTCGAAATTCTTTAAAGTTAACCTAGAAAAATGGATCGCTTTTTCTGGATTTTGTTATTTTCGATAAGATAAACCTGGATAAAAGAAAAACGCGAAAATTATAGCATTTTGAAAAATGCGTTTTTTTAGGTCTTCAATATTTTGTTGTAAATTTTGAAGCTTAGCAGCTCATAAAGTTGGAATTTCTTGATGAATTATAAAACGTTTATTTTTAATATTTTTGGCTTAATTTGTAACTCCCTTTTCAGCGCCCAACAGTCGACGCCGAACGCGTCGACGCCGCACAACGAGCAACGCTGGATGGTCGACTACCTACAGTGGCTGAAGGCCGAGGCCATCGCCAGTCACAAGCGTCAAGGTAATTTTAACATAGAGAAATTTGGTGACTTTCCGTTACATTAAAATTTGCATTTAGTTTGTAAAAAATTTGGAAATTTGTAGTGAAAAACGTATGATTTTAGGTTTTAAATTTGATTTACAGACTCCACCTTCCACTCGATCCTGGTCGCGGCGCTGTGCGTGTGGACGGGCCGTGTCGACGAGATTAACCGATTTTTGGGCTCTTCGCTGTCTTGCAAGGTGAGGGACGACTTTTTTTTTATTTAAATCTGTTCCTTTTTTAGGTCGCCATCACCTCCCGTCACTTCCAAGCGATTCGCGCCCTTCTCCTGTCCGTGCTGCCGGAGAAGGAGCTCGTGCTCCTCTGCGTCGACCTACCGGTTACGATAGGTAATTCAAATAGCACCGGGTGATTGGAAGCTCGTTTTTTCCAGATCTCCACGACTCGCACGAGTCCTCGGAGCCGCTTCCGATTCTGTGGATCTCGGACCTGCTGTCGCAGAAGGTGTTCCAGAAGTACAACGTCGACGTCGGGGTCCGTTTCGTTTTTTGTAGTTTGTGTAAGGGTCCGAGATGGCTTTTTTTCGCATTAGAAAACAATTCGACAGCATTACGAAAATATCACAATTGTCGAGTTTTTAGAAGATTTTCGAGTCCAAATCTAACTTGTTCCCCCCTGCTAACAGTTTAGTACTGGAGAAAGCTGGTTTCGTAGTTTGTACTTTGGTTTTTTTTCCAGAGCTGGATAGGACGCCAAATTTCGGCAGCCGCACTTCCAACTAGCGCCGTGCTCATCGAAGTCATCGAGAGGTGAGGAACGGGGTTTTTTAATGCAGATTCGAAATCAGAAAAAAAAACCCGTAAATGCAAAAAATACAAGTAGAACCCTTTATTCACGCCAGGTCTATGTAAAAAAGCACGCATTAATGGGAGGGGCACGCGATCGGTTATTGCCGAACAGTCGCCGACTTCCACCACGGGAACAGGTCGGCGCACGGGGGCTCGTCATCGGACTGGAAGATGTTGCCGTATCTCTGGAAATCCTTCATTTTAGAAATAGAAAAAGGTGATGCGGCCGGGAGTCGAACCCGGGTCCTTAAATTGAGAAAAAATACGCCAGGAGAAAAAGACAATTTGTATCTTATGAACCGATCTTGTAAAAATAGATAGCGGAAGTGTTTCTAAGCTATTTTTTATCTTCAAAAATTTATGTCGAAAACTGGAAAAAGCAAAAAACAAAAAAATGACACGCCCGGGATTCGAACCCGGGCCCTAAACTTGAGCGGCGAGCTCGCTAATCACTTGACCGAGCCGAAATTCCGTTACACAACAAAATTCCACACCTGGTGGTACTGGACGAGGGCGTCGAGGTTGCGGAAAAACTTGGGCTTCGGGTCGCCGCACTCGACGAAGAAGAACGGCTCCGTGTAGCTGCGCGTCGAGTGGATGCGGTAGTGGCTAAAACGGCAGTGGGGGTACGGTAGATACAGTAGATCCGAACTGACCGGTAGCTTCCCTTGGACGAGCGGTAGCAGACGTACATCTTCAGGCTGGCCGACAGCTTGCTCAGGTTGACAATGTCCGGGATCAGGGGGTACTGTAAAGGCAGTTTTTGATTTTTGTAACGAAATTTTGGCTAAACTCCAGGTAACCCCCCCGCCAGCCGACCCCCACCTACCGTATCTCGGCTCCCTGTTCATCTACAGGTGTGTAAAGTATACCAAAATACTCACCAGAGCAAGACGAACATTTTGGTATACTTTACACACCTGTAGATGAACAGGGAGCCGAGATACAAAAGTTGGGTGCCGGCTGGGGGGGGTTATCTGGAGTCTTACCGAAATTTTAATCGAAAGGGGTGCTTTCGCATTATCGCAGGCGGGCTTTCGAATTTTTAAAAAGTATTAAACTGATTAAAAACCCAAATAATTAAAAAAATCGAATTTTTCGAAAATTTATGTAGATAAAAATTGCTTTTTTTGCGTTTCGGAATAGTAAAAAAACCGTTTAGCAACACTTCGGCCATCTAGCTTGAAAAAAATTCGATAGAAACCTTCAATAATTAAAAAAAATTCAAATTTTGGTCGAAAAATCTATTTTTTGTTGTTGTTGATAATTGTAGTTTGAAGATTTCGAATATAAAAAACTGTGGAAAATACTTAATGGATACTCAGGAAGCGCCTCCCCCCGATAACGCACAAACACCTATTTTTGCCCAAACTCGCCCTGTGGTACAGGATGAAGTCGCCCATCTTCATGACGAGCTTTTCGGCCTGTTCCCACGTCTGTACGCCGCGATAGGCCTTGTGCGCCGGCCCGTTCGCCTCCTCGTAGACGGGCGAGTACTGTAGATGGGAGGGGTGTATTTCGTACTTTTTCCACATTACCATCGAATCGACCGTCTGGTACGAGTAGTTCGAGGCGCCGCTGCTGACGCTGCTCGCCGGCTTGTGCTGCTGCTGCTGCTCGGGGACGCCGGCTGGAAAACCGTTTTTAAAGGGGCCGGCCGGCAAGGTATGGTTGTAGGTTTTCGGCGCCCGCAAAGCAACGGCGACGCGGCGCTCCAAATGAAAAGCAACCATCGGCCAGCCCCTCGATCAGCTCGTACTGCTCGTTCTGCTTGGTGGAGCGGGCTTCTGAACGTGGGCGTTGGTTCTTTTGCATTATCGGGGGGGACAAGACGAAGGTCCAAAGCGACCCACGCCTTGCCGGTCTCTTTAAAATTCACCCACTCATATCTCCGGAGCGGGGCGGGTCGGGCGGCGGGCGAGCGGAGGGCGCCTGGTTCAGCCGCTTTTTCTTCTCCACCTGCAAATTTTCGGTTTCAAGGGACCAACAGGCATACTACAAGTTCCTGGTCCTTTTAAACCCCAAAAACCGGATTTTTTGGGTTTAAAGGGACTCGGAAGCCAAGAAAAGCCACTTACCGCACACTGCCCGGTCCCATGCACGCAGCAGTGGTTGGGGCGGTTGGGCGTCACCGCCGAACGGGTCGAGCTCGTCCTCAGGTCTTTCTGAATAGCGGTTGAAAAGTCTATGCCGAGATGTCACTCTCCCTTTCAAAACTGAAAAATCACAATTATCGATTTTTCTTTTCGGCCAAGATGGCCGATTTTTCATCAAAATTTCGACTTTTTCAAACATTTAACAGTCTAATGAAACATTACTCACAAAATTAAGCGCAAAAAATCGACCCATAGTCATGTCTTGCCAATCCCTTCAAAAGCCCCTACCGAAGTGGCCCCAACAGCGGCCACCGAGTTGTAGGGGGTCACTTGGTTGAGCCGCTGCAGCGACGTGTAGCCGATCTTCAGTGAACTGTACGGCGTTTTCTGTTCCATCCTCTGAAAAAACGCAGATTTCAATAAATTTGCATAAGCTCCGCCCACTTGGTCTTCTCCCTGTAAGGTGAAGAGAAGAAGAATTAACCGGCGCGTTGAGACTAGAAAATGAAAATGGTTTTTTGGGCCGTTTGGGGCTAAATATACAAAAACTCGCATGTGAATTCGGGGTTTCTGGATTTTAATTTTTATGAAAATTTTCTAATTTAAATTTAGGTTGGCCGAACACGCGTCGCATGTCACCAGCGTCGTCGGGCTGTCCAGGGAATTTTGTGAGGTAATTATAGTCTTTTTTGGGGGAGGCAGGCTAGCAGAGATTGTTGAGGAAGTGGAGAGGGCAGGCTAGCAGAGATTGTTGAGGAAGAGGAGAGGGCAGGCTAGCAGAGATTGTTGAGGAAGAGGAGAGGGCAGGCTAGCAGAGATTGTTGAGGAAGAGGAGAGGGCAGGCTAGTAGAGATTGTTGAGGAAGAGGAGAGGGCAGGCTAGCAGAGATTGTTGAGGAAGTGGAGAGGGCAGGCTAGCAGAGATTGTTGAGGAAGAGGAGAGGGCAGGCTAGCAGAGATTGTTGAGGAAGAGGAGAGGGCAGGCTAGCAGAGATTGTTGAGGAAGAGGAGAGGGCAGGCTAGTAGAGATTGTTGAGGAAGAGGAGAGGGCAGGCTAGCAGAGATTGTTGAGGAAGAGGAGAGGGCAGGCTAGCAGAGATTGTTGAGGAAGAGGAGAGGGCAGGCTAGTAGAGATTGTTGAGGAAGAGGAGAGGGCAGGCTAGCAGAGATCATTTGTTTTTCCAGGAAGTCCTCTCCGGGCAGCTGGTCGACAAGGAAAAGACGGTCCCGCGGATCCTGGTGCTCCAATACCTGCTCGCCTACCATCGGGGCTACGCGCTGAGCGGGAGAAAGGGCAGCAATATTTACGGTATTTTTCCACAATTTAATTTTTTAGGCTTTGTCGATATTTTTTCAAGGAAGCTATTTTCAAAAAGGTTTATGGAAATCCATCTCCTGTGTTTCAGAATCGCTCTACAAGAAGATCCCGATCCGATACCTGCTGAGCTTGGTGATGGCCCAGGAGGAGTACGCGGCGATACGCGGCTCATTGGTACGGTTGTTGTAGTTCGTAAAATGCATTTTTGTACGTTTAGTTACGGTGTGCGACGGCACTGTTCCCCTACATGTGGCCGACGCGGGAGAGCATCGAGCTGGTCAGGGTCGACGCCGCCAGGGAGGGCCGGCCGGTGCCACCGGATGCTGAGGTAGGTTTTTTTAAATCCGCCTGTCGCTGTCCCTTTAAAAAATTATACGCACCGCGAGCGACGGTCCGGCGTGTACTGTACGTTCTCTCGGCCTTTAAAACACGCTCAACCCCAGCTCCAAAATTTGGTTTTGTTTATCGTATTTTTAGATGTTGTGAAATCATTTGCTTTCCCATTTCAGATCGAATCCACGCTTTCTGGAGAACAACACGCGGCGGCTCGGAAGATGTGCAGGGACTTGGAGCAGGCTTCCGCGGCTGAATTGGTAATTTTTTTATTCTTCTGAGGGCTGACCGCAACGCAACAGCAATGCGAAGGAATTCGTGTTTTACGGCAAATTATTTTTCAGGCCCGGCTTCTGCCCATCATCGTCCGCGCCAGCAAGAAGTGCCTGCCGAAGGTCGTGCCGGCTGCCGATTTTTCGGAGAGCGGAAGTCTGGAAAGTGGGTTTTGCTTTGAATTTGGTGGCGATATAGCAGAGATTGTTGAGGAAGAGGAGAGGGCAGGCTAGCAGAGATTGTTGAGGAAGAGGAGAGGGCAGGCTAGCAGAGATTGTTGATGAAGAGGAGAGGGCAGGCTAGCAGAGATTGTTGATGAAGAGGAGAGGGCAGGCTAGCAGAGATTGTTGAGGAAGAGGAGAGGGCAGGCTAGCAGAGATTGTTGAGGAAGAGGAGAGGGCAGGCTAGCAGAGATTGTTGAGGAAGAGGAGAGGGCAGGCTAGCAGAGATTGTTGAGGAAGAGGAGAGGGCAGGCTAGCAGAGATTCAGGAGCAAGAGGAGAGGGCAGACGAGCAGAGATTATTTGGGAAAAGCCAGCAAACACTGTTTTTCAGCATCCCTCATAGCCGAGCCAATCTGCCGACTCTGGGCCCGAATCGAAGCAATTGTGCCGAGGGAATTGATGGAGGTCAGCCGGGGGTTTTTCGATTACGCAATTAATTGTTGGCTCTAGTGATCGGTTACGGTGTGTAATTAGTTTTGCGCAAGAAAGCGGAGAACACGAATAAATCGGAAAATTCTTGTTATTGCCAGGTTTTGAAATGAAGCATGCTTTTTGGCTGCCGCATCTGTTGAACTCCCCTCCCAGAGGACGTCCTCATCCTTTTAAATTAACTTTTAAAATATTAAACTATTTACGATATTGTTTCCAGCAAACCCTCGCCTCGTGGCAATTGACGCCATTTTCGGTGGCGCAAGCCTACGTGCAGCCATGCCTTGTGTTTAATGTCGACAAAAGGTATTTGCTTTTGGCCGTATTTAACAAAACTTTTTAACTTTTTAACTTTTTTTTTAGTTGTTACGTTTTTATGTATGATTTAATTTATTTAGAGTTTTCGCCTCGCCACCGCACTTCCAAATCCTGCTGAAGCTGCTGTCCTTCTTCCTGGAGGCCGCCCGCGCCGAGGAGGAGCGCATCGTGCTCCGGGCCAACATGAAGACGAACAATATGTATGATGATCAGAAGAGGTTGGTTTTTTACGCTTTTTGAAAGTTTTGATTGCAAGTAGTAATAATCAAAATCATGCACTGAACCCAAAGTTCTTATGAAAGGGGCAAGGATTCTCGAAAATTCCCAGTGGCAGAGTGGTAGTGTTATTGGTCGTCAGGCCGGTGACCCGGGTTCGATCTCGGCCGGGGTAAAATGTTTTGCTTTTGTCGGGAAGCTGGGATTTGTATTTTTCTGTCGTTTGTATAGTTTTATAGATGTAAAAAGCTCGTTTGAAAGTTGTATTCAATCCGGTAAAGCTAAAAGCAACATTTTTCAGGCCACTTACATTCGAGGATCGGCAGAGGTCGGGTTAAATTATTAGCCACCCTTCGCATTTTCGGTTCTGGTTCGTTAGCGGGGGGGTAATCTCCCAATAGTCCCCTCCTCCGCTAATGAACCAGAACCGAATTCCCCCAAAAGATCTCCACCCCCATTTCCTGTCCTAACACACGATTTAAACCTTTATTTAACGCACCTTTTTTGGGTCTAGGTTTCGGAAAAACACCTTTAAACGCCAAAAAACGAAGGGAATTCGATCAGATACGGTTTAAAAATTTGACAATCTGGTTTTAAATTTGGTCAAAATTAAGACTTACATTTTATATTTATCGCGTTTCGATCAAATATACTTGTATAATCTATATATAAAACATCCAAGCTTTTCATTAAAGTTTTAAAATTAGTTTTGAAAATCTAAGAATTCATTTTGGACGTAAAATTATGATCCTTTTTGTATCCGATCCAAATCCCGCAGAGCACAATTCTATCGTTTAATTTGATAGATAGTTTATATAATTTTATTATTTTTAGCTATGATTTAATTTTTTTTGCTTTATTTAGAATTTGCGACGAGCGCGATCACCTGTTCGTTGTGCTTGACCACGCGCAGCGCGCCGCCTCCGTGCAGCTGCTCATCGAGATTTGCGACTCGGAGAAGAACACGAATGGTTTGTAGCTTTAGAACGCTTTAAAGGTATTTGGAAGCCATGGATACGTTGAATTTCATGTCGTAACGTCGTGTCATAACGTCGTTTCCTGTCGTACCGCGGAAAGACATGAATTTAACTTAGAAAAAAGGAAGACCAGATTTTTCTATTTCCTATGGTCTTAAAGTTACGTTTCACGCCGGCTTGACGGCCCCCTTTAAAACGAATTTTTACAAAATTCCAAGCACAATAATATAACACTTTGAAACCTGGCTTTGAGGCTTCGTCAAAAAAAAGTGTTTTGCCATTTTTAGGGTTTCAGAAGTTTTCTGAGAATTTAATGGGGTTGTTAGATAACTAGGAATTTCCATACTAAAAAGTTAAAACGGCTATTAAATTATGTTTTTTGTTTTGTTTAGTCGGCTGCATCGAGCGGTTCGAATCTGTTCGCCATCTCGCCTTCAACTACATCCACAGCATCTTCATCCGCGACATGCAGGTGCTGAAGCTCGTGCTTTTTGAGGTAATTTTTTTGTTTTATTATTGCTGTCAAATTTAGCTTGTGTTTTAGCATGATTTGTAACGTTAAAAAGGTCCCCTAAGTTTTCGTAGCTTGTTTTTTAATTTTCAAGATTTAAAAAGAATTTAAATGGCTTTTTCAGACCTTCCCGCTCCATATGATCCGCCCGATCGTCGACGGCGTCCCGTCGATGCACGTCGCCCAGGGCTTGATACAGGTTTGTCATTTTTTTGGTATTAAAATGCCCTAATAATTGCCTTTTCTTTCAAAAAAATCCGAAAAAATTAATTATTGTTTTTATTTCTTTTATAATTAATTTTTAGCTTTGTTAATGCTTTTTGATTTTAGGAAATGCTCTCGTTCCCCGACAACAAGCGCCGCATATTCACGGCGATCCTGATTGTCGAGATATTTAAAAAGGTGCGTCGGTTTTTGGAGTTTTAGTCGGCAAGCTCGCGCTTCTTTTAAAACGGCGTTTTCAAGGGTTTGGTGTCATTTTCAGGCTAGAAGTAAGAGACACTCAAAATTCGGTTCTTTTGCATTATCGGGGGGGGGGGGCGGACAAAATTTTTATCTTAGCATCCAGTGATTCAAATTTAAATAGTGGAAGCGTTTCTAATTGTTTTTTGCCATTCCTAAACGTGAAAAGGTGAAAAGTGTATTTTTTTTCATTTAGTACCGCGTGGAGATGACGTTCCCGTTCGTGCAGTCGATGCTGAACGCGCTGTGCACGTTGCTGCGATACGGGGGCCGGGATCAGGTGCTGCGCCTCTTCAACGGCATCATCGAGGAGCTCGGCGAGTTGGCCATGGTCAGTTGGAGTTTTTAGTCTTAAAAATTTTCTTTGTAGACGTACCCCGACCTGAAGCTGTCCATCATCCGGATGTTTGGCCAGGTTGGTGATGTTTTTCATCGTAAAAAATTAAATGGTGCTAAGAAACGAAACCTGCCTGGTTTTTTGGAGCTTTTGCATTAACGGGGGCACTAACAAATTTCCGTATTTGTAGATTACATATACTGTTTTTTTTTTGCTACTGAATAACCATAAATATTTTTCCCAAAAACGTCGAAATTTCATTTTAAAAAATGCAAAATGTATCGATTTTGCCGATTTTCGAGGAATATAAATTTTTTGAATTTATTAGTTTTTCACTCCAAGTATCGTTAAATTTGACTAAGGACACCATTAAGATACTTTCTATTACGTTAATCGGCATTTAAGTTCTCGTGCATAATTTTTAGTTTCTTTAGTACTTTCAAAATACTTTAGGTAGTTTGCCTAGTTTACCTATCGTTAGACTTTTAGCACAACTTTTTAGTTATTTTAGTACTTTGAAGAATTTAATTATTTTTCTAGTTGAATGATTGTCATATTTTACTAAAAACACTATAAAAACACTTGATCTGAAGTTACTCGACATTTTTAGAATTAGAAAAAATTAGTTCCTTTAAAACTAGCTTCTTTTTTAGGTATGCGCAATCGCCGAGTCTCGCCTGTGCCTCTACTCGACGCACATCATCTCCGGCAAGGCGCTGGAGCGACGGCTGATTCGACGAATTGACGACCAGATCCGTGTTCTCAACGAGCAAGTGCCCTTTGTGTTGTAGTCGCTTTAATGTTGTCATTTTTGCCAAAGACGGGTTGCTATGTTTATTTGTCGTGTTGTTTTCCGGGATATATCACGTTTTTGATCTCGCCTTGTTGATGATTTATCTTTTTATCCTTTTACATTTATCATTTTTGTTTTTTTTTTGCCTTTTATGGGTAATAAAGTGGATATATTTTATATGCTAAAAATATATTACAACGTTACCTGACGAAAAAATACAGAATTTGGGTGAAGCAGCGTGATATTAATTTAATTTTAAAGTTTGTACCTTTCGTAAATAGGAAATGTGTCGATTTCATGACCAAAAACTAGCTAAAATTGCGACAAATGCCTTTAATTCACATTAACAACTCGTTCCGATACCTTTCCCGAAACCCCGACCCAAAAAGCAAAAAGACTGATGAGAGTGGGATTCGAACCCACGCCCCCGGAGGGACTGGTGCCTAAAACCAGCGCCTTAGACCACTCGGCCATCTCACCGCGTGGAGAGGGCTGTCCGAGGGGCGCTATGATCGGTGGGGGCCCGCCCCCTCTCCCCGCAGCGAGTGACCCCAAAGCGGCGGACAACCGAAAAGGGCTCTCGTTGCCCGCTCCCGAACACCGGGGGCGTACACAAGTAAAAAGCGGAAAAATGGGGGATTTGTTGGCGTAATGGATTCGGAAAATGTTAAAGGGATTTGAGGCTGATTTTTCCGAATTTTTTGCGTTTTAAGATTGCTTTATGAGCTAGAAAACCTATTTGAAAATTTTCAGAATACGTGAATAGGTTTTGCTTCGTCTCTAAAACTTATCTGGAGCATTAGAAGTGTGGTAAACCTGGTTGGGTTGGTTGGGAAACGCCCGGGCAAAAAATGGGCACCAACCCTACCGGATTACAGGGCTAGATTTCGGGTGGATCGTTGGAGGCATTTTGGGAGCTATTTTCGTTGCCTCGAAAAATCATTTTGTCGCAATTTCAATGCACTGAAATTTCGGCAGTGTTATTTCGACAAAATGAAATGTTGACAAGCTGATAGGAAGTCCATTTTTTCCCGAATGTTTTTCATATCTTCTCTGAATTTTGGTTTTAGTCAGCGTTTTATATAGCTTATTAGCATTATTTTATGACGTAGTTTCTTAACAAGTTTTATCGATTATTTTGTGCATCACAGATTGTTTGGAGCTATTGATGTTTGGGGGGGGGGGCGGCATCTTTTTTGGAGGTTTTTTTCCGGTCTAAGCTTGTCTCCAAGTCTAACAAAGCGTAATCTAAGCCAAGCCTACGCGTAAGCCCAATCCTAAGCTAAGTCTAGAACAAGCCTAAGCTAGGGCTGGGCCAAGCATAAGCTAGGCTGAGAGTAAGCCTAGACGAAGCCTAAAGCCGAAACCAATCCTAAGTTAAGCCACGCCTACCCCCAAGCTAAGTATAAGCCAAGCGTACGCAAAGTTAAAGCTAAGCCTAGGCCTCAGACTGGGAGCCAAAAAAGATGCCCCCCCCCCAACATCAATAGCTCCGGTTGCTTTCCATTATTCACAACGCGCTTATCTGTCCATTAACATGGTCTCTATCTAAAAAAGTATACAAAACTATGAAACATGTTTGTGCACCCGATCTTTTTTCAGTGTCAAACTAAAAAATGGCTTGTCGGAGGAGGATCGCTACAGCCACCCAAACATTTTATTCAGTTCAGTGATACATATTTCTTAGAAACTTCGAACCTCTTCAATGTGATTGTAAGAAAGTGAAACTCCATCAACTCATAAAATGTCTGGCATTAGCAAAACCCATTTGCTCGGCATCAAACCAGACGTTGGCGCGGTGCCAGCCCGAGAATTTGCGGCCCCGAATTCATTTATCGCGTCGGAATGGGGCCTCAAAAAATGGCTCCCGATTTGTCCGCCGAGCTCCACTTGACGTTAGGTCTTTTATTTTTGTAGAGAATTCTGCTTTGGGGCCTAAATTATCGCTGCTAGCCTGCCCTCTCCTCTTCCTCAACAATCTCTGCTAGCCTGCCCTCTCCTCTTCCTCAACAATCTCTGCTAGCCTGCCCTCTCCTCTTCCTCAACAATCTCTGCTAGCCTGCCCTCTCCTCTTCCTCAACAATCTCTGCTAGCCTGCCCTCTCCTCTTCCTCAACAATCTCTGCTAGCCTGCCCTCTCCTCTTCCTCAACAATCTCTGCTAGCCTGCCCTCTCCTCTTCCTCAACAATCTCTGCTAGCCTGCCCTCTCCTCTTCCTCAACAATCTCTGCTAGCCTGCCCTCTCCTCTTCCTCAACAATCTCTGCTAGCCTGCCCTCTCCTCTTCCTCAACAGTCTCTGCTAGCCTGCCTTGCTTTTCTCCAGTTTTCAATTTTCATGTTTCATCAACCATTAAAATCCAGCAAAATTAGTTTTGGCCAGTACTGACATTGTTAGAATTTGAAACATTCCCTGTTTTCCTACCAAGATAGTGTACCACAAACTTTTCGGCACCTCGTGACGGGCCCATGACTCGTCGTGGGAAAATCAGGCTGTTTTTTGTAGTCGTGACACGAAACACATGAAAAACCCCGGAAAATTAGAGGAAATGGGGTCAAAAATCTGCTGAACTCCTAGGAAAGTCGGATTTCCGGAGATTCTATTTAAAATGTAATATAAAAGTATGACTGATAATTTATTAGAAAAAATTTATCACATTCTTGGTAAAATAAAATTAATTTCAACTAGAAAAATCATCAAACCTTCGAAAAATCTCCGTAAAGTCGAAATTTTGCTCAAAAGTCGTCACTTTTGGTCGAAAAATCGATATTTATTGTATGTTTGAATCACGATTTGCAAGGTTCTTAGGTTTATGATAATAAAAACCTCCGTATTCTCCTCGAAAAAAAATAGAAATATTCCGCTATTTCTATTGATAAAATTGGATCCTAACAAACATCTTTGGTTTTGTTGGGTCTTTCGCTCACCCATTAACGCTATTAAGAATTCCGACTTTTGACTTTACCTCGAAACATCATTTTTTAAAATTTTTTCCTCTCCTCTGTGCTGTGAACCCTGCCGTAACCGGGGAATCCGAATAAAAAAATTGTAGTTGATTGGCTTCATTTTTCGCTACTCCCTAGGGATGTTTATTTTAGACGGTGGCTCTAGAATGCTAATAACGAAGCCAATTTGCACGCGTGCCGCCGCCGCTCCGGGGCTCCGTGATCCCATTAAAAAGTTTCATCCAAAAAATAAGTTCCAAATCTCATGCGGGCTTTTCAAGGGGGTTGCTGCTCAATTTTGCTCTGCAATCAACTGATGTCCATCAGGGTGCTTTGGCATTATCGGGGGGGGGGGGAGGGGCTTTCAATTTTCTAATTTCAATAAAAGAATTATTTCGAAGCTATTTCTTGCGTTTTTATTCCGGTTCCCGGGTTACTGTTGGGTTCACAGCACAGAAGGAAGGAGACTTTTGTTAAAAAATGATGTTTCGCGAAAAATTAAAAAATAGGAATTTTTAATATGGATAATCATTTCGGATAGTAGCAAATATAAAGTAATAATTTTTTCTTCAGCTCAATTTTTTTTTTAATTTAAATAACGGAATGGTTTCTAAACCGCTATTTTTGCGTTCGTAACCTTAAATCTTGACAATTTGTTACAAAAAATTACAAAAGTATCGACTTTCCGACATAAATTTAAGAGTTTTTAACGTTGTTTTTACATCGGTAATCCACTTTAAGTATATTAAAATTGTACTAAAAACTATTCAAAATTTACTATGATGTTCTTGAACATTTCTGGGCTCATAGGGATAAATTAGGTTTTCCTCCCCGGATAATGCACAAGAACCTGAATCTCGTTGCCTTAAAAAGCCATCCGGAGTTTTTACAACTTAATGTTTCATTTAATTTTGATGTCGCATTCCCCGCTCTGAAATCAGGTTTTGTACCGTACCCCTACACTGGGCAGACCATGAAAACATCAGTTTTAGAATGAGCACGTAGTGACCATTTTTTCGGCATTTCTCGGGGTGGTCCCGGAGCGAAGAATAAAAATTGCAGAAAATCCATGGGGTAACGAGGCTAATTTTGTAGTCCCCTGCTGCCCCTGATTGGGCTAAAAAGCGGGCAAAAAGCATTTTCGGGGCCTACGGGGTACGGTAGCGGGAGTTTCAAATGCGGGGCACCTTTCGGTTTAAAACGAAGCAAGCTTCCCATTAGAATGAAAATATTGTTTTAATTAAATTTATTCATTGGTTGAATGAAATGGTCTTTTTAGTAATATAAATTATAATTTTGAAACTTTAACTTGCTTGTGTTTTTGAAGGTATTTTTACGATCTTACCTACCGCCAATTACCAGAAAATTTTGGAACCCGCGACAAGCTCTTAAGGGAAACATTGTTTTTGCAAATTTTTTTACGTTCTTTTAGTTTTTAAAAGCAAAATTAAGTATATGGTTTTCAAAATATATGATGTTCTTACAGCTGTCCATATTCAGTTGTAATTTCGAGGAAAAAAACTTTCGATCGGCTAGGAAATTACGTTCAAAAATTGTGACACTCAGCGTTGAAAAATAATTGTTAATTCGCAATTCGATGTCGAATTTATTCAGGCCGAATTAACTCCAAAATTGGCCATTTATGAAGCTATCGAAAGCGCTGGTTCGTGCGGCGGTAATTACAGATCCCGGCGCAGTTGGATTTTTGCAGAAAGTGCCAATCGAATTTCGCGGTAATAGGTTCTCTCTCACTCTTTCAATCTCTCCCTCTCTCTCCGACTCTCTCTCTCTCTCTCTCCGCTAATTACCTCGATTTTAAAAGAATAAAAAGCGGTTGCCCCTAAATATTTTAATGCTACTTTCTCAGATCAAAGTAATTGAATTTTACATTAAAATACGATCTAAAAGTTTTTAAATCCTCGGAATTGCTTTTATTAAGGAAATTTCGCAGTACTATTCACTCAGAACTCCGGTCGCAGCGTTTTTTTAATAAGGACAATTTTTAAACCCAATAATCGTAATTTGACATTTCCAAAGCTGAATTAACCAACT